TTTCCTTTAACTTTTTACAGCGAAACGAAACTTCACCAACATTTCTGTCTGAAAACGTCAATAAAATAAACAATTACTGAGTTTCAGATTCAATTATATCATCCTAGATTGGAGATTTAAAAAAACCTCCCTTATCATCCTTTAGGGGAAATTACGAAGATGATGCGGAAGGATGAAAACGGGTTGCGCGCGGAAGGATGAAAATGGGTTGCGATGCTCGCAATTACAGCAATGAGATCTGACAGCCGTAGACGATACTGGATTCCTCGGTGCCTCTGGGGATGAACTTGTAGCCAATATCCATCGCAGTAATGAGACGTAGACACCGTTTAACCCGGGAGATGTGACTAAACTGAACCCTAGAGATATGGGTATACCCTAGAGATATGGGTATACCCTGGAGATATGGGTATACCCTAGAGATATGGGTATACCCTAGAGATATGGGTATACCCTGGAGATATGGGTATACCCTAGAGATATGGGTATACCCTAGAGATATGGGTATACCCTAGAGATATGGGTATACCCTAGAGATATGGGTATACCCTGGAGATATGGGTATACCCTAGAGATATGGGTATACCCTGGAGATATGGGTATACCCTGGAGATATGGGTATACCCTGGAGATATGGGTATACCCTAGAGATATGGGTATACCCTGGAGATATGGGTATACCCTAGAGATATGGGTATACCCTGGAGATATGGGTATACCCTGGAGATATGGGTATACCCTGGAGATATGGGTATACCCTGGAGATTCGACGGGAGACCTGATGAATATTCACTAATGGTGTGTGCCGGAGTGGTTTATATTTTCTGTTAGAGGGAAATAACTTAGTGGTGTTTTTTTTTTTTTTTTTGAAATAGGGGGACTGGAGTGGCTAGATTTAATGGCTGTTACCTCGGCGAGATCATCGTTTTTCGGTCCAAGACAACCGCTGTCTCTGAGCAGTCGCTCCTTACGACATGCTTGTTAGAGAAAAGCGGGTCTATCCACAATGGCATAGAAGTCAACGAATGTATGAAGAGGACTAGCAGAGAGAGAGAAATGGGCAAATTATTCGAAAGTTATATATTCAATAAATTTGGACTTTATAATGTGTCCCATTACGAATTAGGTTGCAGTTGGTCATGGTTGATCTATGTTCCATCTTCAACGTTTACAGGCTGTAAACACTGGCGTAAAGTTCGGGGTGTTCGTCCAGTTCTGGACTTGTGTCTTGTTTTAGAACTTTAAGTTGTGTGGGTACATTTGTTTTACAGATCTGGCTTATCTGTATGCAGACGGTTCGTTTGCTTGGTCGGTTTTAATTACTCACGTTCAAAATGTGACCCGGTAGCTAGATACGACCTAATCAATATGAGTTATAATAATGGCAACAAATTGTGTTCCTATTTTATTGCCTAGTGTTTGGCGCTAGTATTTTATTTCTTCTGGCTATCTGTCTGGTCGGCCAGGTCGTGTCCTTCTCGCTGTGCAGGTTTGGATTTGGTTAGCTCATGTATGCCTCGTTGTGACTCTGTCGATGGTGTTATGGCACTGATGGGCTATCTTCTGAGCTTTTCATAGTGATATTGCTGTTTCCGACATATCTATAAATATTTAGGATCTTCAGTTCACCTAACACACGTCTGTTTTTCTGGCTCTCTGTCTTTCTATCTTTCTGTGTATGTCTATCTGCTTGCCTACCCGTCTGTCTATCCGTCTAACATCTCTATCTACAAGTCTCCTTCAGTGACACCAGCCAACTAGTTAGTACTAAAACTACCAATTATTCCGCCAAGGAAAGAAATGATAAATCTAGATACAAACTCGTCGATGTCTCGACTGGGACGCTGAAGATCAAGTCCCTGGAGGCTTCGATAGTTTCTGTTTGTTGGTCAGTCGCTTCTACTCTTTCTGTGGCTCCTGTCTGTCTGGGTCGTTCGGTGTTATTCATTCTATTTCATTGAATGACGGTCTCTTTTATTTTGTATTCAGTTGCTAATTTAGTCTGTCCGTGTCTTTTTGCAGCCATTGGTGTGTAGTCGCCAGGCCG